CTGCTGCCTGAGAGTCTGGGAGAGAAGTGCAGCCCGAGGGAGCCCTGAGCTCAGCCGAGCCCGAAAGTCCAAGCCAGAAGTGACCCTGTAGCCACGCAGGCCAGTCAGTGCTTATACACTGTGGTAAACCACCCATCCTTTATTTCCAGTCCATCGTGGACCAGTGCATTATGAAACAGTAAAGGTGAATTGTAGAAACGTGAACGTTTACATACGGAAGTCCAGCGTTTTTTGTTATTATATTCACTGCACGTGATAGTACTTTGTTAATTTACTGTGAGATTTACTATGAAGGTTTCTAAATACTTACTGTACGTTTCTGTGGGTTCCTCATCCCAGGACAGTAACAGTTTCTGGGCCAGCACCTGTTCACGGGCCTCCTTGAGTGGCCCTGGATTGGGCTTTGCCCCAGCTTTGTAAAAGGAAGTGGAAGCCCAAGAAGCTTAAAATGTTGGGGAGTTGGTGGCAGAGTGACTGAGAGCCCTGGTTCTGCCCCTCACAAAGGTCCCGTGGGATTAAAAGGCCAGCCTGGCACTGTGGGCACCGCAGGGAGCTTGGCCAGTCAGGCTGTGGGGACCACCTGTTACATGGTGGAGATCTTGGGTTTCTCTCACAGACGGGCAGCTATCCCCATGTAAGGGGCAGCTGTTGGTGAAGCCCCATTACTTCCCTTTCGTGGGGCAGAGGAGAGGAAAGCAGTTGAGGTCGATCCTTGCTCTTTGCACATCAGGCAGCTTGTGTCCACTGGGCCCCAGGCGTCGCCCCCCATCTGTAGGTGGAGAGGCCTGTACTGACCATCAGGACCCGTGAGGAGTCTGACGGGTGGTGGAATTCAGCTGCCTCTTTCAGAGCCCACAGTTTGTGTGGGGGGAGCTCATCCTCTTAGTCTCGTTCCCTGCCGCCTGTTAGCTTGTGGTCAGTGGGGGGGTCAGAGAAGGGGTGTTGGGTTACTGGACCATGAAGAGCCCCCAGGCAGCCGCCTTGGGAAACCATAGCTGACGTGCCTTTGCTGCCCAGCTTCTATGCATTATGTAGCAGTTTTTTATTCTGTCTCGGGCTTATTAAAATTGCAGCGGCACCAGTGGGCAGGGATCTCTGGGGTTCTGAGATCTGGACATAACTCCTTCTCCCTAGGAGGTAGCCTGAAGGGAGTCTGGTTTGCAGGTAGAGGCTATAGGTTCCCTCTAGGGGGAAGGGGGATCCTTTCACCTCTTCTGCATCATCATAGGGGGTGGGCAATGATCACAGCCCAGTGCTGGACACTTGTACATTTTTCATTTAGTTTTCGTGACACTCTGCAAGGTAAGTCTTGTCACCATTTACAGATGAGGGAAACTGAGGCTCAAGCATTAAGTGTCTTGCTCGAGATCTTAGAGCTAGTCAGTGGCCGAGCTGGCATGAGGACAGAGCTGCCTAAGAGTGTCTTTCTGCCCCCGTGACACCCTTCCCAGAGGCCTTCTGGCCTCTTTTGTCATTTAGCTGTCATAGGGAAGCAAGGGGAGAGACTTTGCAAAAGATAGTCAGATGGAGAACCTGAATCCCAAGGGCTGCCTGCCATGATTCCCTGACTCCTGTGCATTCCAGAGTTGGAGGATGGCTTGCAGACTTAATTCTGCTGGGCTGGGGCAGAGGGCTCTGTCCTGAAAAGGGTGGGACAGGTGGCTTCTGTGTCCCTGACTGCCCCATCATCTGTCTTTGCAGAAGGAGCCCAGCGAAGTGCCAACGCCTAAGAGACCTCGGGGCCGACCGAAGGGGAGCAAAAACAAGGGTGCTGCCAAGACCCGGGTGAGGCTTGAGGAGGGCCCTCTCCCCACGACAGCAGCTATAGGAAGAGGTCTGGGAAAGGGCTGGCTTGTCCTTATTCTTGGCACCCTCTTTTTCTCTGGCATATGGGGGATGATGTGTCTTTGCTAATTGAAGAGAGTGGGGCAATGACTGAGGTCTCACTTCTGGGGCCTTGGTCCTGCCCAGGACACTGGGGAAATCGAGTTAGATGTCCCGCAGCTTTCCTGGTCTGGAGAGGCGAGTTGGGAGGAGCGAAGGGGCAGCTCCTGGGCTGAGAATGTCACCTTTTCTCCCGGGGGCCCCCCAGGCTCCTGAGGGAGTGGGGAGAAGCGGGGAAGGCCAGATCTACAGTGGCATCGGCCTTTCAGAGAAGTTGTTTTGTTTTTTATTTTATTTTTTCTAAGACACGACTCATATCCTCTGAGTCATGGGTGGAGGAGGGAGTGGGGGGCGTGTGTGTATGTTGGGGTGGGGGGGCAGTGTGGCTGGCCAGTCATCACCAGCTGGACTCGGGTGGGCCTGCTGGGCTGAGAGTCCTGGGCTGCCCCGAGCAGAGGAAGGTAGTTCTGCCCCTCCCTGCTCTCCCTCACCATCCAGGGCACTGTCAGGAACATCTTTGACTTAGTGGATCTTTTCTCTGACCATCTAGAAAACCACCACAACTCCAGGGAGGAAACCAAGGGGCAGACCCAAAAAACTGGTAGGTGAACAGGTGGCGGCAGCTTGGCTCTTCTGGGGAGGCTGTTAAGAGTGGGAGATGCCCCATCCTATGCCCGCATAGGAACATGGCTCTCCCTGACCTGCAGGGCCAGGAATGGTGAGACTTTATGTTTTACCCAGGCCTGGAGAGGGGGAGGGATTTGTCCAGGGCTCAGGGTTCCTGGCACCCAGCCCAGGGCTTTTAAAGGGCTGTGTCCATGAGAAGTGATGGGTCTCAGGTACAAACCAGACCAGACTCCCTGCGCTGCCCTACTGGGGGTGGTCCCTGTCTCTCCTTCCTCTGCTTCTAGAACAGACTCAGAACTTCTCGGGTGAACTTGGAGGTCAACTACTAGTGTTTCTTCGCCGCCGCCATTATAGAAACGAGAACGAAGAGGTTTAAGGAGCAGCAAAGGAGCTCAGGCCTGGGCGGGCGGGCAAGGGCGTCACGTTGGGTGGGGGTTGAGGTACGATGCCACAGGGAGCTACCTCCTCAGGGGGGCGCCGTCCATCTCTAGGCCCCAATAGCTGGTAAAGGAAGTAGGCGGGTTGAGCCGGGAGATGCCTCCAGGGGCTCCACTGCAGTGAGGGCCCTCCCGGCCCTTTACTGTCCCCAACCTGTCTTCCCTGAGGCGTTCATTCCTCGAGCCAGCGCCGGGTGAGGGGAGCTCGGGGTGCTGGCTGGGCCCCAGGAGTGAGTAACAGGAAACAAGTTGTTTTGGAGTTTGTGCCTGGCACGGGGGCCCCGTGTGGTGTCCCGACATTCCCGCCCAGTGAGTGAGCCCCGGCGGCACACACTTCCCCTTCCTCCCCGCCCTGGCCTGGGGTCAGCCCGTGGCCACCGCTGCGCAGCCCAGCAGCTGCCCCTGCAGGCCAAGGCCACTCGGTTCCCCTGCACCCACCAGGGGCTCATGCAGCTGCAGCCACCCCTTCCCTCCTCGTTTCCTCTCCCTGGCTGCCTCCTCTCCTCCCCTGCCTGAGAACCAGTCGCTTCCTCGAGCTCAGTGGTGCCCCGGGCTCTGCCAGGTACCCCTGCCATGGGCCTGGGGGCCAAGGGGCCTGGCTCTGTGTGAGAGCAGCATGTGTGTGGTTTTTTTTCCCTCCCTTTAAATTCTTCCTTTTTTATGAATGAAACTGGGCCGTGGAGGTTGCTGAGTCACCCACACAGTCAGCCCTGACTCATCCCCCTTCTGGAGAGCCAGGGAGTGCGGGGAGGGGTTGGGGGCGAGCTTGGCCCCTGAGGGGTGGAGGAGGGAGGGGGACAGGCCTCCCCCAGTGGGTGACCCAAAAGAGGAAGCCACCCTGCAGGAGAAGGAGGAAGAGGAGGGCATCTCGCAGGAGTCCTCAGAGGAGGAGCAGTGACCGTGCCGCGCCGCCAGCTCCCTCATCGAGGAGCAGTTTCCTTCTGGGACTGGACAGCTCCGCTCCGCTCCCACTGCCCCCACCCCTTCCCCAGGCTCTCGTGTCACCGCCACCCACCTGCGCCCTCACCACCACACTACACAGCACACCAGCCGCCGCCGCAGGGCCCCCGGGGGCCCGAGTCGGGAGCAGTTTCCTTTGATTTCAGGTCCCAGCGACCCCTGACCCACGCACCTGACTTCCCACTAAGCTGCTCCCGCGCTGCTGCATCCCCACTCCCTCAGCGTGGGGACCTTGCTGGCTGGGCTCTTGGTTTCGGGGTCCCTTCTAATCCCCGACTCTTCCCTCTGGCTTCCCATTAAGGGGCCTGGGAGGGCTCCCCTGGCCTTAAAAAGGGGCCCAAGCCCCATCTCATTCTGACACGCCCCACTCCCACTGTACTAGCGGCAGCAGGTGTGGCCACTGGAGAGGGGTGATTGGCCCCAGATGCCCCCGACCAAGCTGTGTCTCACCAGGGGTGGCTCACACGCCCTTTGCTTCCTTCCCACCTTGCCTAGTCCCTGCAGTAGGTTGGGCCGCCCCCTTGGGGGCACAGGAAGGCAGGCAGGAGGGGTTTAAGCCCCCTCCCCCCTCTAAGCAGGCTCCAACCTACCTTGCCCTCACCCTGGAATCCAGTGCAGTGATGAAAATGCAGAGTCACCTTTATCCAGGTGAGGCCCAGGAGGCCTGGGCTCCCGGTGGCAGCCACTTAAGGCGGGCTAGAGCCACTCCCTGTCCCTGTCTGCTTCCACTCTAGACCTCGGTTTCCCCTTCCTTCCCTCACTCGGGGCACTAATAACAAGGAGCTAGCCTTGCCCACTCCCATCCTTCTGCTCCTCCCCAACCCCCAAGGTTCTGGTTCCATCTTTCCTCTGTTCACAAACTACCTCTGGACAGTTGTGTTGTTTTTTGTTCAATGTTTCATTCTTAGACATCCGTCATTGCTGCTGCTACCAGCGCCAAATGTTCATCCTCATTGCCTCCTGTTCTGCCCACATTCCCCTCCTCCAAGATGCTCTTAGGGGAAGGGGCCTGGGGCAAAGCAGGCTGGGTTACCGACTACCCCAGTCCCAGGGAAGGTGGGGCCCTGCCCCTAGGATGCTGCAGCAGAGTAAGGAGGGGGGCCTGTGTTGACTGTCGGGTGTAGGGGCCACCTTCTCCCCCTGTTCTGTCAGGGAGGAGGTAGCCATTATTTGTCCCAGCCTGGGGCCCCCCCCTCTGGTTTCCTATTTGCAGTTACTTGAATAAAAAAATATCCTTTTCTGGACTGAGTCTGTGATGGGTGCCTGGAAATAGGGAAGGGTGGAAACCAAGGCTCTAGTGGGTGGGGGAGGAAGAAGGGAAAGCATTGGCATCAGCTCCAGGGAAGGTAACTTAAGCCCCTCTTGAAGAAGTCAACTGCACCCCTAGCCACAAAACGTTTTATTTACAAAATATATATACCGAATATTATACATTAGGCCCTGTCACCATGGGAACAGCTCCAAAGCCAAGTCAGGGAGGGCTAGAGAAAGGTGGTGCCTGTGGAAGGGCAAAGCTCCACCCTGTCTCTCGGCCACCCTTCCACCCCAGAAGGAAAAATTCCCATTAGCTCCTGGGAGTGGCTGGTAGGCTCAGCCCACAAAGGACTGAAGGCCTAGCAGGGAGTGAGGGGACAGTGGGGGCTGACTGCTATGCAGGGCTTAGGACTGGGGACAGATGGGAGGAGGAATGGAGACCCAGTACCCGGGAGGGGGAGCTGGGGGAAGCAGCAGGCTGCAGGGCCCTGGACGTTCCAGGACCCCATGGTTCTGAAGAGCAGGGCAGGGGGCTCAAGTCATGTCTTGACATCCAGCAAGGGCATCCGCTTGTGCTGGTAGCCACTCTGCCAGCCATGGACCACCTGTAGGGGAGGAGACCCGCACCACAGGGCACAGTCCACAGCACAACTTGGGAGGAGGCACCCCACTAGCCACGGCCCACATGGGGAAGGCTGAGAGCAGAACCAGGCTCTGTCTTCAGGGGTATCAATAGAGCAGACCCACCTCTGCTGATTCTCGCTGTCCCCAGAGTGCTCACCTTGGGGTCTCCCACGTCACAGAGTAGCTCGTAGGGAATTTCAGGTTTGTGTCTGAATGGCTGAGGAGCATCTTACATGTATGCAGGGATCTCAGATCCTATGGGAAGAACTTTAAGCACAATTCGGGGGAGGTGGTGCGGGGGGGCAGGGACACTCACCGCTTTTTCTTCTGGACATACATTACCTGTAACAGAGACACAGCACTGTGGAGGCCGCTGAGCCCAGGGTGGCCCACAAGTGACAGGGGTCTACCTCCACACCCTCCTCTCCCGTAACAGCAGGACAGCTGAGATGCTGTGTGCAGGCTGGACCAGGCCCACCCAGCCCTGCCTTCGCAAAGGTGTGGGTATGTATGTATGTATGTGGAGGGTTCCTTACCACGGCCACCACCACCCCGACCAGGGTGATGAGGAAGAAGGGCCCCAACACATAGCCCACCATGGAGTCGCTGCTGGCCTGTGGGGCATTGGGCACTGTGGTGTTACTCATGACATCGGCAGCCAGAGGGCTGGGTAGTCAGCATGGGCAGTAGTACTGCCTCGGGAGGGCGCCTCCACTGGGCTCCCTGGGGAGGAGGAAGGAGGTTGTCAATTCCACCCAGGCTCCGGATTCCTCCCCAAGAGCTAGTAATACATGAAAACTTAGGTCAGGCACTGGGATGAGGGATCTTCCGGGTCAGTGTGCTGGGTTTAACCCTCCAGGGACTCTCAGCAAGTCCTGGGTGTAAACGGCACCAAAGGGAGGCCCAGACCCAGGGCCTGAGTCCTGCCCAGCTCCTATCCCCAAATCGGGGCCGGGTGGGGGTGGGGGTGGGGGCGTGCTCAGCTCAGGTGCTGGCCAAACATTTGCAGATATCAATTCCTGAGGAGAGGTTAGATGTACGAACCCAGCTCCTGCCCCAATCTCCTGGGGTACTGGACTGCCAGCAGCAATCCAGTGGAGCAAAATGGGGATATTAGGTTAAAACATGAGGGTCCTGCATTGCAGCCTAGGGTGAAGTGAGAGCATCTGAAGGAGACCATCTCGGCCCGGGTCCAGTGCCCACACTTCGGTCTATATAGGTCCTATGCCCTGTTTGTCCCTGGAGTCACACCAGGCATTAGCCTGGGCACCGTCTCCCCCATCGGTCTCATGTGCCAGGGTGGACACAAGTGGGCAGGGCTGGACTGCATCTGCGAGGTGATGTCACCGCCCCCTGGTCCCCACTCGGGGCTCCGCCCGGGTCCCTCCCCTCCTGGCCTGGAATGACAGAAGGAAGTGGAGAGGGTCAGCTCCCATGACAGATGCAAGGAGACTGCCCACGGGTGGCTGCACGCAGATACACCCAGGTCCTTGACCCCGGTTCTCCTGGGCTTCTATCGGAGGGCAAGGTATGAACTGCCCGTCCCGCTACCCGTGGGGGCTCCGGGCTTACCCAGTCGCATGCCCGTCCCATGGTAGAGGGGACATGCCGAGGTAGGGAGGGTGACAGGCCGTTCCTAGGATGCGGACCAGCAACGGAGAGCGGGAGGAAGTTCCCACGGCTCTGGGAGGCTCAGGCCAGGGGAAGGGAACTTAGGGGGAGCACAGAGGGGCCCGGGCATCCTGGCATCCCGACACCCCGAGGCGTGGACCTGTACCGGCGCTTTGCAGCCCATCCAACCCGGCCAAGGCTTACCTCCCGCCGATGCAGCCCGGAAAGGAACGCCCTCGCTTGGCTCCGGGGCCCCGGAAGAGCCGGCAGGCGCGTGATCAAAGGACCCGGGGAAATGGGCGGGGCCACAGTATCAGGGTGCAGCCAATCCGATGGCGGCAGGCAGAAGGCCCGGAGGCTTCGGGAGGGGCCAATCCAGAGGCCGGGGGTGCTGGCGGCGCCGAGCCGAGACGGCCTGGGCTGCAGGGTCCACCCTATGACGGCAGGGGGCAGCCGAGGGCTGCGCAGCGGGGAGGGGCGGAGAGGGGAGGGGCGCGCGCGGCTTCCCAGCGTTCCCCGGGGCGGAGCCCTGCTATGCAGCCGCGCTTGGGAGCTCACATTCCAGGGAGTGGCCTGAGGTCCGCTTTACTAGCACTTCTGGTTGGAGCCCAGTCACGCTCTAACGTTTAGCCCAGGCCCCACAAGGCCTCCAAAGCCCCGCAAGGGCTTTGTTGAGCCCTCTAGACCTCCTAGCGGCGCAGACTGGCCCTCTGTGCAGTGCTCAGAGTGTGTAGGCAGGCCTGAGGGTAGCCCCTGCCCAGCCTTGGACCTCAGGTCCACCCACCTAGCCACCCTCTCTGCGCCTCACTCTTAATGTTGGTAAAACAGGCTGCTGTAAGGATTAAACCATGACATGGGTAGAGCCTAGCACATAGCATGCCCAGAATTTTAAATTCCCTGTTAGCCTCTTTCCGGTTTTCCAGGGCACAGATGGAGCAGCGAGGTGAAGTTCCTCTGGGTCATAGGTAACTTGCCAAGTAGGTAAGCTTGGGTTGAAGCTTCAGTCGTCTGATAATTACAGTGTCACACACTTATTGGGGAAATTTGAATAAGATTAGTGGGTTTTACCAATGTCAGTATGGTTGTGATGTTATACTATAGTTTTGCAAAAGTTAGCATTGGGGGAAGCTAAGCAAAGTATACAAGGGATCTCTGTTATTTCTTACAACTGCATGTGAATCTAGTTACCTCGAATTGTGTGTGTATAGTTTTGTACCACACCTACCTTTCCATCACCAGAATCACACACAATTGGGAAAACTCCAGATGGGCAGGCGATGGAAAACACCCAAGAACATAAAGGTTGTGGCAGCCGAACCAGGTTGAGGCCCTCCTGGGTCCTCAAGTGCTACTGGAGATACAGGGGTGCTGTGAGTCACCCTATTTTTTTTTTTTTTTTTTTTTGGCTGTGCCGCCCAGCATGCTGGATCTTAGTTCCCCCACCAGGGA